CTTCAGCTCTACTGGGCTTGAGGGACCCTGTTCTGCTGTTCCAGGCTCTCCCTCCTCCTCCGCTGACCTGTACTTTGCCACCAAATCTCATGTTTGAAAAGAAACATTTTCACACAGGGACTCTCTCCAAGAAAGAAAAACACAACAGTTTCAACTTCCCCATGGCTCTGCCTGCCTACCTGCCTACCCTCCACCCCTAGGCTCCATGCATCCATTGGGGCGTGAGCCTGGGCAGGAGACCGTGGAGATGACCATGGCAGTGGCTGCTGCTCAAGCTTGACCCCTCAGGAGAGTGCAGCTTAGGGTTAGATGGCTACGAAGTGCTATAAGGCTATGGAGAAAACCCACACACAACCCCACTGCCTACACGTACACATATAGCTATACACACACACACACACACACACACACACAGCACGAACTCAATCTGCAAGCATCAGAAGCTAATACCAGCACCACTGGTAAATGAAGAACCCTCTACATGTGCCTCAGTTTCCCCAGATGAGGAGGATTCGGGGGGACTGCCTCATCTCCACCACCAGCAACGCCCAAGAGCAGATGAGCTGTTTTGTAGCTTCAACAAGAAATCCCCTTGAGGATGAGCATGTAAAGAGTCTTTCTTTTATTCTCTCCCCCCTGAATCATGACAGAAGCAGAGTTAAGAAGATGTCCAGCTTCATTGTGACCACCGTCCGAAATGTGAAAGTAATTCCAAGACACAGGGAAGAGGAAAAGAGAGGACGAGGACATTGCTGTGATTCTTGAAGACCACCACCCCCATGTCACAGAAAGAAAAGACACGCAAGTTTAGAATTCAACTAAGTCACATGTCTCGTCGGGTGGGGTTATACGCCGGGGTCTGCACATCTGGAAAAAAAAAAAAAAAGGACTACAATGGCTACTTGGTTCTGTCTACTGGAGAGCGCGCACCAACAAGGAACAATGTGGAACTCAATGCCCCGAGTGTCAACTTGGTGCTAACTCGGGCTGCGTCTTGGACAACACATCAATTTGCTAAAAACACACAGGAAAGAAGGTACTTTCTTTCAGTTGTCAAAGCAAAAATCCTTTACTCTTCTGTCGAGCAACCCGAAGAAAAACAAGGGAATTTGTGGCTTGGTTTCCTTGACAACCTTATCTTCACTCCAGGCGCCTTCCTGTCTCTAAGCAACAGGGCGCTCTTCAGAATTACCAGGAGGCAAAAGCCAGCACTTATCCCGAGTCCTCCAGGACAAAGCAAAGCAGGGCAGAGCCCAGGGAGCCAGGGGAAGGTGCATGGCCCCATGTCCTCCCAAACCCACACACACCCTGGCACCTCCTAGGGCCTGGGACTCCACCTCTGCACTGTCCTCTCAGCTCACTCCCCTGTCCCCTGGAAGGGGCAATGACTCCGTTCATCTGCTCACTTCTCCCTCATTCCCCCCCTAACAGAAGAGCCCTGCGTGGCCCTAGAGTGAAGGGAAGGCTGACCCTAGACAGCAGGGCACAGAAGGAAAGCCAGGATTCGCTGTGTAAACAAATGGCCAAGCCTGGAGCAGAGCACTAGATCACCGGAAGCCCAGGGGAGGCGCCGATTGCCCTGTGGACATGGATGGACTCCTCATTTGCCCCTGAAAACAAGACTCAGAATTTTTGTTTTCCTCCTTCTCAGTAGCATACCCCAGCCTCTTCCCTAACATCTCAGAGTCAGGAAGAATTTCTGAGCATACAGAGAAGAGGAATAAACGAATGAAGGCTCTGGAAATTACAGCTCCGTGCTTTACCAGAGCGAGAGGGGCGAGGCAGAGAGGGCCAAGCTCCAGCTGCAGTCAAGTGGGATTTGCAGGTGGGAGAGCCCACACTGCGCTTCCTACCTGCACCCCATACTCGGGAAGACAGCCCTTCATCCCCACCTTTCTTTCTCAAGCAAGCTCATGTCCATGACCCTATCTGCCCCCATAGCACCTGGGAATCAGGGAGTGGGGCTGGAATGATCCCCTTCCTTTGGATTGGAGGGGCTGTTCTTACACACCATCGCAGCTGGTCATTTTCAAAATAAGATGGAAACAGATTCTGAATCCTCATGCCAACTTGTCATTGGTAATGGGGACTCTGGATAATCTAAATGGCTATATTTCAAAAGCAATTTCCAGATTTTATATCATCCACAAGCTTTGGTTAATACAATTTTTCCATAGTCTGTCCACAAAATGGATCTGTTTGGGACTCCTCCCCTGGCTCTGTCTCTCTTGGGTGAATCATAAAGGAGAAGTGTCTGAATTCATTTTCCAAGCCCCCATTTGAGCCTGATTCAACACAAGCCCCCAGGGGGCGCCACGGAGGTCACTTTGCAGCCTGCAAAGTTCTGGGGAGGGCAATCTGTCTTTTCTGCTCCTCCCAAACCCCCATGCTGAGCCCATGCCTCTGAAGAGCCCCCCATGACAGCACAGGGGTGGGAGCCCAAAGTCAGGACATTCTCCAAGTCACAAGATGTCTCCCCTCAATGGCGAACTCAGATGGCAATTAGCCCCCCAAGGGAGGGAGACAGCAGAGCAAGGGGTGACCAGAAGTCCATGTAGATGTCCCTTCACTCACTGTGTTTGATAAGGAAAATGGAACTTTGATTTCAGACTCTCCCATCATTGATTGTTATTTTGTAGAACACAAGTAACATTTTAATTATTTTCAACTCCACACCATAAAAGCTAGCAAGGGAATGGAGACAAAATAGAATAAATAGGGACTTATTAAGTACATAATTAATGTGCACTAAAATTAGCATACTTGAATACAAATGAATTGGCATATTGTCAAGTATGCACCTTCAATGTTATCAATTGATTAAACCCGTTATCTGCTATGGCTTTTGGAACGAATTAGGTCACCTCCAGAGAGAGAAAGACTGTTTAAGGACGAAGTGGCTCCCCCAGCAGGACCATCCAGCCGCCAGTGGCGCTTATATTGTCACAAGCCAAAGTTTGAGGACAGCTGCCACTCTCCCTGTGAATGCAGCTCTTGTGGAAGACCACCTCGGAGCCAGGATGGACCCTGGGGGGACTCTGCCCTCGACTCACAGGGATGGCAGCAGAAGCCGTTTGCAGTGGGGCCTGTCCAGGGCAGGCAGGGCCTGAGCTCTCCCAGCAGCCTGGAGGAAGGAGGTGGTAACCAGCGGGGGCCGTAACTAACACAAACTCAGCCCCACTCACAGAGCCGGGCCTCGGCTACAGCTGCACGCCACCTCACCTCGACCTCGCCAACTAGTGGGAAGAGCAAGCAGTGTGGAAGCCAACCAGTGGCTTGACCCTTTCTGCTTGCCTCCCTGCAGGGTGTCTCCGCTGTCCCCTCCAAGGCCTTCTATGTTGGGTACAAACACTGGCAACCAGTGCCATCAACCCAACTCTTAAAGCAGGAGCATGATTTTAAAAACCACACCATCCGCAAAGCCTGCCATGTTCACAGACGCAGGGCAAACTCGCCTCCGGCTCTGAAGGTGAGCAGTTACCAGTGGACTTGCGGTGATCGACTGGCTCTATGCTGCGTGATATTTCATCTCCTCTGTTGGGCTGATGACTTCTCCAAGGGCAGGGCTGTTTCTCTCTCTCTCTCTCAAGCATGAAGACCTGTGCTGACCACCATGGCAGGCGCTGGCCACATAGGGCTACTGAGCCTTGAAACCTGGCTAGTGACATTAACAAAACATTTCAATTTTAAGCAAACTCAATTTCAAACCTGAAGGTGTCTAAAACATTTTTTCCATTATACACAGCTTTGTTTTGGTAGGATGGCTGGCTTCTCATTCTGACGGTTCCAAGATAGTTTTTTTCAGAAGGTAAGCTGTCTCAACTTTTAAAAATACTAATATTTAAAATACTAATAACCATGTTGAAATCAGAATATTGTGGCTCCATTAGATGAGATGAAATAAGTTCCTTTAATTAACTTTACCTTTTCTTTTTTTAACATGGCTACTAGAAAGTTTAGAACTGTCATTTTACACTGTACAGAATTCTACTGGACGGGGCGATCCACATGCTTCACAGAGAAACCGTCCAGCAGGCGTTGGTGGGTTAGTGGTTGACCACTCCCGTCAGATCACTCCCATCTCACCTGGTTTCCTGTCTCCACTGTAACCAAAGCATCTTTCAGGCATTTGGATTAGAAATACAGTCTGTGGCCAGAAAACACAATGAAGAAAACCGGCAACACAGGAATAACATCACTTGTGCCGATTAATTCACAAGTCCCCTCCCTTCTGAAATTGTATGGCACAGCAATTGGTTGTAAAATAGAGAATTCTGATATTCATACCCTAAGAATGTAGTTAATTCTGACCACCAGGTGACAGATGGGGTTCTGTGCTTCCTGGCAGCCAAAGAATAAAAGCAGCTGTGCACAGTAAATGTCCTGCATTGTTCCCACAAGGCACACGAACCTTCCCCAGGCACGATGACGCCACCCGGCATTTCTTCTCAATAATAAAATACCAAGTTTGAGATGTAGGTTATGTTATGTATAATGTACTTGTGACTCGCCCCGGGGCTGAGACCAGCGGTCTCAGACTGCCTTCCTGCATGAGCTCCTGAGGCCAGCCTGTGGCTCCTCACAGAAAACCTGACATTTCACCCTCTGCCAAGGGGCGGGCACACTGCAGTGGAGCTGCCCGTGGCGGGGGAACAGTCCCCACCGGTGCCGTCAGCACAGCAGCACCCAGCATCCAGCATCCGTGTCCCCTGAGCACAGCTGAGGAGATTTTATCCAACTTTGATTAAACACAGGCAGCTATCATATTGGATGGTCCAGGTCCAAAATGCTGTAGAAAACCCCATTCTAGCCAATACCTATCGGCCACGGTAGAACAGCAGCCGAGAGTCTCCAGATACTTTGAGTCATAATCCAACACCGCGTTCCAATTCCTTGCTCTAATTTTTTTTCTTGAATTACATAATGGTAGGCGGATGACGTCACAGAGCAGGGGTGGAAGTGAGTCTTGATTGCAGCCCAAACCCCAGGGCAGCCTTACATGGGGGCTTTTGGCTACAGCTTCCTGCATCAGAAGGCCAAAATGTGGGGTGTAGTGTTTGGGTGTCTGTGACCAGAGCTGGTAAGAGGGGATGACAGGGCACCTGGAAGTCACTCTGACACTCTTATTTGGGGGTAATGCGAGGACCCCTGGGCTGTGACTTCCCCTGTGGGCTTCTGTACCAGTTCCCACGCTCACACTCAAGGTGTGATCCAGACACGTGCCTCTGGCTCCGGCTACACCTCCCACCCAGGAACACGTGATGTGGAGCTAAACATCACCCCGTCTGGGAGCCTGTGCTAATTATCATGTCAGGCTTCCCACTGAGAGATAATTAAAGGAGAGCATTACAATGTTTTCAAACTCCTGCAGTAAACGAGATGCCTCTCCGAATAACCTGTGGGAGATGAAAACTGAAAGGCTCCGGAGTCCCCACGGCAGAGACCAGAAGACCTCTGAGCAAGGTGTGGCCAAAAGTAGGTGGGGAGAGAGGAGTGAGGGTGACGGAGGGGAGGTACCCTGGCTTCTCAGGCTTTGCAGCAGCACCAGAGGGTCCCAGCATGGTGCCCTGGCCTCGCTCAGATATCATCTCCATCCTACGGCCAGGAAAACAGACTCCCAGGCTCTGACCTCAGGTCCCCTAGCTAGTGAAGCACTCAGTGGCTGCAGGATCTAAGAACCGGCATTTCTGACTCTAAAGCCTGTCCTGCCCCAACCCTCTGGCTGACGACTTGCATGGGTCCCAGATGGTCCCCAGGATCCAGGTGGGTACACGTGTGGGGGCCTCAATAATCTGTGGCTTCGCGGGGCGCTCTGCTTCCTCCTTGGCTGAGCCTGGGTTGCTGTGCCAAGACCACCCCCCAGTTGTGGAATCAGAGCAGAATACAAGCGGTTCCATGCGTATGTCCCCTGGGAAGGTCCATGTCCAACAAGAGAATTTCCTACCCAGTCTCTGTCCCAGGAAGATGAAGAGTCGCTATATTCCTTTTGGCGCTACTGACTCCTCCTTGAAAGCCAGATGCCGTACCTTGCTCCAAGTGCTGCCCCGCCAGAGCCGCCCAAGCAGGGGCAAGCCAGATGTCCAGGTTCTTGTCAGCAACAGCAACCACTACTCCTGCCCCTCTTAACTGTCCCCTACTTATGAGTGCTTCAACAGATCATCTGTATTTCACTCCAAA